TCCCAATTTAATCTCTCATCACCTCTTCCTCCCTCATCATTCGCATCTCTCTCTCTCTCTCTCTCTCTCTCTCTCTCTCTCTCTCTCTCTTTGCGGGTGCAGAAACAGCTTACTCTTGACAGGTCTTGACATGGAGAAGTGCAGGTCCTTCCCGGAGTACTCATCTTCGTCGACCGGGGGGTTTGGATATGATAACAGGTGCAACTCCTACAGCTTCAACGGTCCCAGTGGGAAGGATGATGGCTTTGCCAGCTCCAGCGATCCCGAGCTGAAGAGGAAGCGGCGTGTCGCCTCTTACAACTCCTTCGCCATGGAACGCAAGCTCAAGTCTTCGGTGAGGAACAGCTTCAAGTGGATCAAGAACAAGTTCACCGACGCAGTCTATGGAGTCTAACTACATCCCTATAAACTCCTATCTCATCTATATATATATCTATAAATCCTTTCTGTTCTTCATCTTCTTTTTTGGTCTTTCCTCAGCAGGAGAGTTGCTTGCTTGTTCTCTTTCTTGTCATGTAAGAAACCCCGGTGCTACTTCTCTCTCTCTCTCTCTCTCTCTCTCTCTCATGAACTGTTTCTTCCTGATTGAAGGTAATCAGATGGTATTTATCTTTCATGTACTTAAGCAATACAGTTTGTGAACATGGAGTGGTCTCTCTCTCTCTCTCTCCCATGAACTGTTTCTTCCTGATTGTAGGTAATCAGATGGTATTCAAATAATACTGTTTATGAACATGGAGTGGTCATGAAGTCTCTTTCTCCAGTAATCAATCATGAAAGATGATCTCAAGAAACCTTCAACAACAAAGCTTAATACTTCATGTCTACTAATTGTTGAACATATCCTTAAGTATGCATTAATTTAGAGTTCAATACTAACCACAGGAAGGCCAAAAGCTTAGTTCAGAGCTCAACAGAAAAGTTACTTGGTATGTCTATTATGATCATGATTACCTATTTTTGTACATGACCTTAAGCAGTCACTTGTCACACATACAACATGATGAGGCTTTCGAAAGCATGATTTATGCTTCTTGTAGTGCTTTATTTATTGATGTATGTATGGATGGATATGGGCCAGAATGATACTAAGAGAGGAGTGTGCTCCTACACAAGTAATACACAATGAACAACGATTAGCATGATCAGAAGCCACCACCAAAGATGCTCACAGTTTCTTTTCAGTATCCTTTTTCTTGTGGGTGTAGTTTATGCATGTAAAAGTAGAGTTCCTACCCAACCAATTACATCGACAACCTTCATTTTACTGTCCTCTTCATCATCCAACACTATTTGTAGAGCTTCAATTTCATCTGATGCTACTCCTAACAAAACGTATGGGAAAACACTTCTTTCTAATTCATGTTTTACTCTTGCTGCATGAACTGCTTGTCTTCCTTGGTTGTAGCAACAGTAACACATGAGATTCGTTGGTGAACAAATGTGTTGTGGCTATGAGTCAGCACGGCTTGGTCCATGGGTCGATGTCGAGAGTCTTCTGTTGGCTTAGCCGGATACTGAGGTAGGTCAGGCCCTCTCGATGGGGTGTTGATCGGCGCTCCTCGGTCCGGGCATCGTCTGTGTTGAGCAGCATCTTCTCCGTCTCCAGGCTGGTCTGCAGCTCACCTTCGTACACTGGATGGCAATTCCCAGGTTAAGACGCTCGCGGCTTGATGGTGGCTGCTTTCCTGCAAAAATGACTTTCGTCGGATGATTCCCGACTTTGGCCCCTCCGACGAGCAAGTCAGTAGTTATTTTTCTCTTTTTTTTTCTCTTCGCTTGGCCGGATGTCGGTCAGAGGCTTTTATATTATTGCACGAGGGTCGATCACACGCGGGTTCGACGTGGTGGTTGATCCTCGAGGGACGAGATGGTACTTCTGTGTAGCCGCCGTCCCGGGACGCAAGGGAAGGCACCTGACGGCACCGTCCCGAGCTTCCGGGATGGGACATGCCAAACAACACCTCGGTACGGATTCCGACTTGCGCATGAGGGTGCTCCCCTTGCTGACTCGGTTGTGGCGTGACGTAGCATCGATTGTGACGTGTCTTGGACCCAAAATATACCTTATCAAGATTATTGCTAGAAGCTTCCAAGAATATATATAAATGATGCAAGATATCTATGGATCGGAAGAGAACTAAAATATAATCTCACGTCACTGAGGATATTGAAAGAGCGGATCAAATACGTTAAATCTAACTTATGACTTAATAGTTTGAGCTTACCGATTGGAATGCAATCTCCAAGCGCTCCCTGTGGCAGCTGAAAACCCAATGGCATGTTGTCGGCGGTGCCATTGACGAGGCCAAGTGTGCCACCGTAGTAGTCTAAGGGGACGTCCGCTCGAAGAAGCCGTCGACGATGAATGAAGGCTGGTTAAGGCCGGTGAATTTGAAGGAGAGGGTGCTTCTACAGGCCTTGGAGATGCTGATTGCAGGGAGGTAGCAGGCCTGAAAGAAACTGTTGTTAGATTGTGCTGCTGTTGGAGCAAAGCAAGTCGAGCAATCTCTGCGTAAATTAAACAAAAGATAATACTATCAAATTTATGCTACAGAATTGATGAGTCACACACAGTGATCAAGTATAGACTTTGATGGTGACAGGACGGCATATGAACATTAATTGCACGCATCAATGATTTAGAGCGTGCCATGTGGTGCTGCTGCTGTCCAATTGGGTTTTGAGATCCTGAAGGGGGATTTATGTCACAGCTGAACGTGTTTATGGATCATGCTTTCTTCTGCTGAGCAAGAAGTCGGAGCATGCCCGGATGCATTAAAAAACGAAATAAATCCTTGGAGCAGATAAGAGTATTGTCGAGAAAGTTGGAGGATGTGAACAATGATGCAAGTTGAGGCTAGTGGGAAATCATTGGAGGGTCCATATACTGGTGTGGGTAGGCATGCAGGGCTTAAAACTCAAAGATAAGTATGCTTTTAGATGGAGTTGAAGGATAATCGAGTAAGAGAATAGTGATGAGGAGAAGGAAGAAGAACAAGGGTGATAGATAATTACAAGATGATGATGGTGATAGCTTTGGATATTTAGGAGAAGAAGCATATGGTGGCATCTTCATGCTCAAGAAAAAGGACAAAGCAGAAAGAACATAAAGGTCTTTTTATAAGAATCATTCCCATTTTTCGAAGATTGCTTCAAATGCTTCATGTGAACCTCCCTTTTTTTTTTGGTCATCTTTCCATCTGCCAAAAGTAACCCATCAATAATATCAGTTGCAAAAGTAGACTAACAGAGAATATTAGTAACTAAAAATGTCCGTTATTAAGCTCAAGTGAATGATACTAAACCCATCTAATCATTATAAATTTATTCGATCTTATGAAATAATTGATCTATCAATTATTAATCCAGAATATTTAACCCCAACCTACTAGTAACAGGCTTATCTAACTCTTACAAGTTCAGTCCAACTCATCTTCCACTTATCAGAGCAATACAAGTTTATGTTCCACTTATCAGAGCATTACAACACATCTTAACTTTTGTAAGTGCCACTAAATCAGAGTACTACAAGTTATTTTAAATTCGTTAGCAGAGCATGTGTAAGGAGGAAATGATTAAATGAATGGGAGATGGGAATGTACCTCTTTGTGTTGATTCAACAAGTTGCTTCTGCTCAGGTTCCTGCAGAAAATTTTCTTCATGTCTTGTCATGGATTTCCTGTTAAAAGAGTAGGAAGAGGAATATGGTTTTGAGTAGCCCATGCTGCCATCAGAAGACACATTGTCTCACATAATATATTATGTTGCCCATACTTATCTCCTTTTTGGAAAGGACAAGATCAGCACAACTTGGTACAACAATATATTATCATGTGTTTGAGAGTGGTACCACATGTTTTCATCAGACTAAGCATTCATACAGAAAATAGTGAGTCATATTAATCCAGTTTGCAACAATTTTATAATCAGAACAGTTTCATCCCACCTCTTCTGTAGCAAGAGTATCTTTCATTGTTGTGGCATGGAGGAGTATACTAGCCTGCCAAATCACATGCTGAAACAGGCATCCAAAGCTCAATAAAATGATTTAGTTCCATGAAAATTTTGAAGTACCAGCATTCATTCTTGAGGGTTATGATCATGGTATCTTATGCTTTCTTATATGCTAAAAATAACCAAAATGCTGAATGTAAAACTTAAATAATAATTAATAAAAAAATTGGCTATTCAGAGAGAATCTGTGTTCCAATATATGCAACTTAACATGCACCTGCCAGTCCAACTTATTCTTGCTTGGTTACATGCATGGGGGGGGGGAAGAAGTCTCAAAAGTGCAAGTTTTTTGTGGATAATGTCTAAATATTTCTGATGTAAAATTAACCTATAAAAATGAGTTCAAATTCAGAAAGAAATATAGAACTATGATAGTTTACAGAACAATATAACTAGAGACATCTGGTGCTTTTTCTGTGACAACCTGCTATACCAACAGCAGTATGTTGGAGGACAATTCCAGAAGTTCCCAAAGAGCTCCAACAGAGATCAGTTTCACAATTTTCTGCTAAATGTGTAAATATGAACTGGACATGTGATAGTAATAAATTAAAAACTTCTAAATTCGGGAAAAGATCCTTCAAATAAATTTTGGAAATTAATATGCTCACAAGTAGGTCAAAATAATACATGATACAAATGGGTAATTACAATATGCATATGACTGATGGATGGACTAGTAAGCTACCTGAAGGGTTTATAATAGATAACCCGAAGAATGGTATACAAACTGATGAAAAACCTATACTGGAGGAACACATGCATCACATATATGTTACACTTTTCATCACAATCAGAAGGTACCAAATCAGTGTTGGATCCCTTTTGTGTATATTGACAGTGGAAGCAGATATACTGTTCTAGCACTACATAAAAGTTACATATCAATTGCAGAAATGAAAAGAAGCAGATTCACTAAGAAATGCTTCATCCAAGGTTGAAATGAAGGTCAATGATGAAAGGGATTCAAGACAACAAGAATGAGAGGAGAAAACAGATTGTTTTTTAAGTGAAAAAAATGTTCCTTGGGTCTATTCTACAGATATATGGAAAGATTCAAACTTATATCTACTTATGGACCCCCAAAGTAATTCCAAAATTTAGACATGATTTTGTTTCATTCAATCCCCAGCATCTGATATAAAAAACCAAAAAGGATAAATATTCTGGATCGAAATGAATCATATCTTTGTTTTGATTTGACAGACTCACTTCTCATTTCAACAAAGACCACTAAAAATTTCAATCAAATTTGATTTGCCTAAACGTATTGTCTTCCATCTGCTCTGCAATAGGAATGGATGCGTCCCAAGTATATGCTCAGGCATAAAATCGTGCCTTGTCAATATGCCCACAACAGGTGCCCGCTGCAGCAGTCCAAAAACACATTTTAGAGTCAGGCAAGCACCAAATAGTCTGTTAAAAATCAACAATAGACTAAATAGAAAATATAAAAAATTTGGTAAGAAATCTACACTAGCAAAAAAAACTGGGTCAGAGTATTGTATAAAATGATCAGTGCATGCACACTAAAGGGAGATAAGATTGCTACCGAAGAAGACTTTGGAATAACCAAGAGGTGCCTCAAGCCAACTTCTCGGAAAAGAATGAGAGCCTTTGCAAGTGACATCGTCTCAACAACAGTGTAAGGTGAAGTGTTGGTATACGGATGCAAGTCAACATACATGTCCATCTCTTCAGCAGTCAGGTCAATCCCTTCAATGTTTTCATGCTTGCCGGAGCCACGTTTAGCAAAGTCCTCGGCTGAGAACTGTTTTGAAACATCAATACTTACAAGTGTGCGAGCATGAAGAAATGTTTTCTTCTTCAACAGAACAAGTAGGTGTGCACGAAGAATCAGACCAAAAAGCACTGGCGAACTAGAAAAGGGAGGTTCATCTACCACAGGGAATCCATGATGGCCAGTTGTCTTCAGTAAATGGACTATGTTGCTAACTTTCTCGACACCATTGAAGATCTGCAAGGGACCTCCAACCACATCACCGACAGTGAGCTGTCTCATGTAAGGTTCAGCATGGGCTTCAAGATAAGGCAGCCCCTTCAGTTTTACAAGCATATCATAGACGTCGGCATTAAAAACATCAGCCACCGTCTTGGAAATAAGCAAAACCAGCATGACCAGAGGAAGCAGCAGGAGGTTGTTAGTCAACTCTAGTATAATTACACAGACAGAAACAGTCATTCTCATTGATCCACCTAGAAGGGAAGCAGAACCAAGGACTGCAAAGAGACCATGATTCAGAGTCGAATGTGAACCCATCAGCATCCCAACAAGGCGTCCATAAGTTGCGCCGGTCAAAATAACTGGCACAAAAAGGCCAGACGGAACTGCTAGACCATAGCTGATGATACCAAGAAAGTATGAGGCAATGAAAAATAAAAATACCGAAGATTTTTGAAACACATTATCTGTGCCAGCGCTGTAGAGGTTTCTGATTGCGTCATCATTTGTGTTAAAAAACAGACTAGCTAGATCATTATAGTGGTCAGAAGCACACTGAAACTTTTTGAAATTTCCAGATCTACCTATTGAGGGGCAAGCTTCTGATAACCCAGCCGGGCAAGGTTTACAAGATGCAAGCCAAGGCAAACCAAATAGGCAACAAGATGTGAATATGGAAACTGAAGCAGCAAGAAGCAACTTGTAGACATGCCCTCTCCTGAAAATAAAGTTTTGAATATAATCTCAAAAATACCAATGAAGGAAATGTTTGCAAAACTACTTTTAAAGAAAAAAAATAGGAATTCGCATCAGAGATAGTCAACAAGTACAGTAAGATGCAACATTGATCCTCATAATGAGATATTGGCATAATAAAATACATTTGAACTGTTCTTTATGTCCTGAGTTAGTTTAGTAAAGAAAGAAGCCAATTGTAGTAGGAAAAAAAAGTAATACATACTCATTGATAAGAGTGTAGACTCTGAGAACCTTTTCCAACAGAAAATTGTAGAGGCTTCCCAAGATTCCTCCTATAACTCCTAGAACAAGTACTGGAGGCAAATCGATTAGGTGATAAGTGACATCGGCAGAAGTGACATCGAACATTATAAGACCACCCTTCCCAAATAATCCACATTTGCCACTATTGCAAATATCAATCAGTGCCCTGAGAATGACCACAACAACTGCTGTTGTGAAGAATGCTCTCCAAAGTAGTGCACTTCGCCACCTTCAAAGCCAAGAAAGCAACTATAAGGAGATGAAATGAAGACATTGTACAGCTTTCGAAAAGACAAAAAAAACCATATTTCTCTAGTATTGGACAGTTCTCAGCATGGTTAATGTGCCCCAACTCATGATAGTTATGCATAAGATTCATTATCTAATTTCTCTAGTATGCTATGCAAAATATTGTAAACCCTCGATTTACTACTTTCCTCATAATTATTGCATTCCAAAAAGAGTAGACAATTTATGCCCCTTAAAAACCAGTTAAATTGTATGGCCATAAATGCTAGAGACCATATTAAGAATCACATGCAAACTTCAATCTATGTTAATCAATGTAATATAGTTAAATTAATATCTTACTATAGAACACAGAAAAAGAAAGGTGCATGAGACAGTTATCAATGTGCATGATACCATGATGATACACATTCCAGGGCAAACAGAACACCACCAACTGGCGCACGAAAGGCAGCAGCAACTCCGGCACCAGATCCACAGGTAACAAGATCCCGTCGATCTCTGTCGTTCTTAAAGTATCTCAGCCATTTACAAGTTAACTTGTACTTCCGAGATCCACCCTGCCCCAGAATAGAAGCAATGCAGGCACTTGTATGTATCATAGGACCGGCTTTACCCACATAGAGAGATGAGGAGACAGCAGCAATGCAGCCTACCACCTGTTGAGTCCACGAAACATCTACATCACTCACTTCTATCAGGTTAAAGACTTCAAAAGTACATCCATGATGATAACCATGCAACAAAGGCCCACATAATCTATTATTCAGCTAGGAATATGCAATACCAAAGGATTATACATGGATGGCAGTTTCGTAACATGTTCCATATCAAAATCTACTACCTTCACTTCCAAATTGAAGGGATCACATAATTATGATAATGCAAAGAAGAATAGGGAAAGCATAAGACATCCAGAGAAATATTAATTACCAGGTATCTCATGAGGTTTTATTAATTAATAAATTGACTTGAATTTCTTCTGGCCAAGTGTTTTCTAGGAATTGCAGATTGGCATTACAATCCCAATTAGTCTCTCGTAATGCAGCTTGCGAAGATTTTTCTTCTTTTTTTTTTTCATTTTCAGTTGGGTATAAACAGTTTAACGTTCCACGAAGAGCTAATGCCAAATTCGTTTCATAAGGCATCTTAAATAGATGGTAGAGCACAGATGACAACCACTAGAGAACCCGAAAACCTCACCTTGACGAAGAAGGTCTTCAACGAGAAAATATCAGGGGCGTCAACACCATTAAGATAGGCCTTCACTTCTGGTATCCCCGATCCAGCCGCCGCCGGCGAAATGAAAGTCGTGATCATCGAAGCAAACATGAGAAGCACAAAATTGGTGCCCGCAAACACTCCGAAAGCCCATCCGAACCTGCTCCACCCACAAGAAGAATCAACCAAAGAGAACAGGCGACGGAGCTAGGTTCATCGGACCCAATCGTACTTCCTGACGAGCATCATGTTGGAGGTGATGACGAACTTGACGCCGGCGATGTTCTCGACAGCGAGGTTGTTGAAGAATCCGACGGCGCCAGCGAGGGCGCCGACGAGGAAGCAGAGGGTCCACTTGAGGATGACGTACCGCACGATGTGGCCCGGCCCCCGGCTACGCCAGTCCTGCTTGAGGAAGTCATTCTCGATCAACCTGCAATTCGTGCAGGGTCAGATCATCCCACCCGGAGTCGCCACAGATCGAAATTCGAAGAAGGAATCTAAGATCGAATGAATCGTGATCGAGAGGGAGAACTCGTAGTCAAGGCTTTCGATGGGGCAGAGGTTGGAGCCGATGAGGGCGACTTGGGAGGTGGTGTTGGAGGTGGAGCGGCGAATGCGGGAGCGGTGCTCGTCGTGATAAGACACTGCGGACGAGATGAGGGGAGCCTCGAGGTCGTCGGCGTTGACGAGCTGATCGGCCGCCATCGGCACCGCCTGCTCGGGCGTAGCTACTTATGTACGGGGGAATTCTTCTTCGTCTCTTCCTCCTCCAGTGCTGGTTGTTCAGGTCTTCGACTGATGCGAGAGGAAGACGACAAGAGACGAAGAGGGGATTGGTTAAGTGGACCGCGGGAGCACGTGCCTCCATGTATTCACGAGAATGGCAGCTGCCCGCTGGGGTAGGTTAAGAGCCTCGTGCTTCTCATGGAATATAGCAAGTAAAAAATAAGAAGAATTTATATTTATATAAACATATATATATATATAACTCAAAAAGATGCAATAAAAATAAAAATAAAATTTTATTTGACTGGTAGAGAAAAGATATGTATTGATAACATGAAAAAAATTTAGTATATTAGATTTTTTTTTTTTGATGAAATTTGAGGAGATAGATAATGGTTGGAATTCTTTTTATAATTTTAGATCCCATGGCCCCAAAAAAATTGGGAATTGGACTCTTATGTATGATATTTTTGTTAATATAACAGCTGAAGTGGGTCAATGTACACAATCCTACAATTCAAAGAAATTATATTCAAATTTTAAATCTTAATAATAATAATAATAATAAAATAATGTAATGCAATAGTACTATTCAAAAAATTATATTTAAAATTTGAACATTAAGTAACCAGTGAAAATAAAATAAATAAATAGATTGAGATGGTGATGAAAGCATCTACTTTAGTGCAAGAACATTAAAAAGAAATATTTGATGGACCAAAAAGTCCAATTTTTAGAACTATCTTCACATGAGAATCTGGAAGAACAAAATTATATTCAAATTTTAGATCTTAATAATAATCATAAATAATGTATCCAATATTATTTATTACTCAAGAAAATATACTTCAAATTTAAATAGTAATGATTGAAGATAGATTGAGATTGTGATGAAAGAATCTGCTCTAGTGAAGAACATAAAAAATATAGAAAGGTTTGATGGACAAACAACTCCAATTTTTAAAAACATTATGACATTTGGATCTAGAGGAAATCATAGACAATGGCATCTTCTTGCATTGTTTAACCTATTGTTTTGACTAAACATGAGATCCACAGGTTCTTGAACTCAAGTAGGCACAGCTGCTGGACATCTTTGCACATGCATGCATCTCCACTGCAATACTACTCTTCTGTCCTAATGCACCAATGCAACATCCAATGTTGGATGTTGTTGTCACCCACTGGAAATATATTTTAATGTGGGCAACAAGTAGATATATATTTTAATGTGATGATTGGTGTTTGAACCACTGTTGTGTTGATGTCTGAGAGAAACAAAGCTAAGTGTTCCTCAAGAAGCTCTGGTGAACTAAAAGTCTCAGAGGAGAGTAAATAGTTGGTCAAAGATCCAAGAACAAATGAAATCTTTACATGCATACACCTTGAATTGTAGAAGATGATAAGATGTAGCATTTGGTGGAATCTATCATGGAATGAATGTAGTCCAAAAAACAGAACTTTGTGCTTGAGAGGATGAAACTTGGTATAATAATGATAAGATTTTATTTTATCTAATAATAATAATAATAATAATCATCATCATCATCTCTCTAGGGATAAATTCATATGTTTTTTTTATTAATTTAAAGGATAAATATCAATATACATGAGTGATATATTGATATTGATCGATATAGACGCACAATATCATGACCACAAATCTCATAGAAGTGACATAAAAATTATTCAATCGATTGATTTATGATTAATCTTAATCCATTTTATCAGACCATGTTAATTTTTCGAATCTCTACTAAATTTAAGAGGATTAAAAGGCTCGGGTATGACCCAATATCTTTCGTTTTAATGGTGAAGTGCCATTCTACATACCTTCTATTGTATATTAGATTTTATTTTTGATATATATATATATATATATATTAGATTACCCAAAGCTTAGAAAATGTGATGTGCTAAACTCAAAGGATGATTAGGTGAAAGATTGACATGATCATGAGCTACAAGACTAATAGATCTATCAAAGTATTTAAAATAATAATATTTAATCGAAAAGCAAGCAAATGGATATCTAAAACTATGATTAGGAGACCCAATAGAGCTGATGGAATTGATGAGTTAGAGGAAGTCCAATCAGACTATAAGGTGATGTAAGTTGTAACGCTTTAAGTCCTTCCAACATGTAAGTGTATTCGTCACGAGAGAGAGCTAACGAGACTTGACAAGGAACTCTTCTTTCAAACATGATGCTTCTCTTGACATCCTTGACATCAAATCCTAAGACTAATCCGAAGAGAGGATATACTCCGTAAAAGTTGGGATTGAAAGATAACTTTTAATGCTAAAAGACACAAAGTGATGAGAGGAGTCCCACCATTTGAAGAACCTAAGCCTACCTATACGAAAGAACTGGCCCAACACCTCTTCTTATGTAGAATGGGTTGGTGTTGCTCCATCGAGAAGAGTACCACAGCGTTAATGTTACAACGAAATCTATTCCTATGATTAAGAATGGGTGTCATCGAGAAAATAATATAGAACTGGTAAGATAAAATGTCTGCATATTACTATTATTACTATACAACCATAGTAATAGAGGTTTATATCGAAACTATATAATATGTGCATATATACATTTAGCAAATATATATAATGATAATTTATTTATTGTCATAGTATAATGACTAACCAAATAATATTTTTAATCATACAAATTCTTACCCTGATTTTTCTGCGATCGTATTATACTTAATTTAATTGCATGTATATATTGGGATTATCTCCATTTTATTTTTCTCACGTCGTCGTCGTCGTCGTCA